CTCAAGTTTGTAGCCAAAGGCCAAAGTTGGTCAGCATCCTTCCGCGGGTCTGGCGTGAAGCTCCCCAAGGGGATGCACCGAGCTCTGGCCGGGACTTGAAAACAAAACGGAATCGTGGACTAGCCTCCCCCTCCTCTGCAGCCTGGGCGAGGGGGAAGCGCAACCTTGAAGCGCAGCCAGGGCGCAGGGCTCCCGGGTTCTCTTGAAAGCCTGCAGAGCTCTGGTTTCGGCAAAGTTTCCCGAGCTCCCCGCTTCCCTGGACCGGACTCCTAGCCTCAGCATCGCAGAGGTCGTGGCGCCGCTCTCGGGCGACCGTGACCTGATTTCTAGTGCCCGGCCTCAGGTTCCTATCTCTCCGCCCGGGCCCGCGCCTCTCGGTGAGACCGTCGACCTAGGGGAGCACCAGCTCCTCAAATCTCCCCGTACACCGGGAGCATCCACCGGCAAGTTGAGCAGAGTCGACTTTTCACATTCCGTCCCCGAAACAGTACCCTGGGCTAATTTAGAGCGAACGCGAGAGGTGGACAGGACCCTACTGGGTGCCGTTTTCTGCGCTTCTGTTCAGACTTGTTGGGAAGGACTGTGTGTGCCTATCTGTGTCGGGAGGTGGGGGTGACCATTTGGTTTCTGTTGGGCCCAGAGAGAGGCGACCTGTGTATGTGAGGAGTGTGTGTGTGTGTGTGTGTGTGTGTGTGTGTGTGTATGTGTGCGCGCGCGAGCGGGCGAGCACAAATTGAGTGCATGGTGCAAGTGCTTGCGTGGACGCGGACGGTGTGTGCCTGTGCGCGAGTGGCCCGCGCGCGCGTGTGCGTGGACGCGTCTTCCAGCGAAAAGCTTATGCTCCGACCTGCGTGCATGCAGCCTTGCCGTGCCTTGTGGACTCCTGCTTTCACCACATCCATCCGTCCCTCTCTCCATCTGTCCGTCCGCCTCTCGGTCTCCGTAGCCATCTGTCCATCCATCCGTCCTTCCCTGTGTAGTCTTAGCATTTTCCCTGTTCCGAAGGAGGGAGCCAAAAACCAACTTAGCCTTGTGTTGCCAGCCTGTACCCAGAGCTCTCCAGACGGAGGCTCCCACACTGTGGTGCACACCTGCCCGTAGACGCTGCTCCAGGGGACTGGGTGCTCTCCCGCCCTCCAGATCGCCCCCTCCCCTCCTTCCTTCGGACCTGGGCTCGGTTACGGTCTTCGCCGTCGCCGAAGCTCAGTCCCAGGGTGGGAGCCTTGGGCGGACTCGTGTGGCCCGCGTTCTTCTGGTTACTTCGCACACTTGTTAGGACGCTCCCTAGACCTCTCTCCCCCCAGGCGTAGAGACTTTTTTCTTTTTCTTTTCCTTTTCTCTTTCCTTCCCCCTTTCTTTCTTTGGCTTCTTTTTGCTTATTCTTTTGGAAGCAAAACTTGGGAATGCTAGACAAAAAGGCACCGAGGTTGAAAGGGGGGTTACACCCCCTTCCCAGCCCCTCCTTCCCTTAATTCATTTTGTTGCTTTTTATTCCCATCACGTTTCCTTTTCTTCCTTTTACCCTCCCTTTCTACTCCCTCCCTTTTTTTGTAAATTGGGTCTTATTGTTCCCTTTGTGTCCCTAATCCACCTTACATAAATCCAAATGGATGTAGCGGGCTTTTCTCTGGGGACCGAGTGGAGAGAAAGGGGAGGGAGCGCGACTCCGGGAGGGAGCGACCCCGGGAAGACTCAACATTTAAAAATAATTAACAGACCCCTGGAATTTAGGCTCCCCAGGAGAATCAGGGGGAAAAGGCTGAGTTTTAACTGTCTTGTCTTGGGGGGGATAGTAGGGGGATGGGCAGAATTCAGGGGCCTGCGGGTGAAACTGGGAGTTGGGGTGCTCAGGAGCAAGGATGGCGTCTCTGCATTCTCACCCCTCCCCCACCCCGAAGGCCCAGCCTCGCCGATCAAATTAATAACCCAGAGGCTCCTTTGAGATGGGCCTTTCGACCTCCGGGCCTGCAGATCGCGGTGGGAAAGGGAATGTGAAGAGGTTTTGAATTCATTGCGTCCCTTTCAATGTCGTCAGTACCTACTCCTTTCCAGCCCGAGCTGGGCACCGCAGCTCTGTAGGCTCCCTCTCCTTTCCCCCTAAGCTTCGAGGTGCACTCCGAGGTGTAGCACAGCATCTTATTTCCACTAGGCACCACTCGGTACCTAAAATTCAAACCAGTGATTTCCTGGGGGTGGAGGACGAGTCTCAGATTGTCCTCCAGAAGACCTGGGAAAGACGGAATCCTTGAGTACATTTGCATTCGATTCTGGCACCTCCTTCTCACCACCACCGCCCCCCGCCCAGTTCTGAAACTTACTTTATTTTTTTAAGCATGGATACCTCGTTCAGGGACTATTTATTTGGTGGTGAAGGGGGAAAATTTTAGGGGAGAACTGTTCCGACCCTTCGGATTCTCTGATAGAATTCACTTATGCTTCTGTCGCGGTGAGGATGAGTTATATGGTCATCTGAAACTTACACAAACAAATCCTTCCAACAGAAATGAGACAGAGACTAATGCAGAATTTGCTCTCCTGTTACTGCCCTACATTAATATATTTGGCTTTTGGGTTTTTTGTTTTTGGTTTTTTTTTGTTTTTTTTTTTTTTGAATTGTACTTGAGGATTCTGTATTCATCCTCTTTAGAAAATGGATCTACTGAATCCTGGGATGGAATTTTAAATGCTAAGCAAGTTAAATAAATAAGAACCTGCAGATTTAAAGAGGGGAGGGGATCAAGTGAGTAATGATTATTTACATAAGTGAGACCAAGTTTAGGTTTTGATCAGAGTTGGATATGCACCCCCTCCACACATATGGAAACGCTCAGGCAAATGGTTTTTGTATTATTGCCTTTGTCCAATTGGAAATTAATCTATTTTCCTTTGTTTTTTGCAGTTACTTTATTGGATTCCAGATCTGTTCAGGGAGAACTTGGGTGGATAGCAAGCCCTCTGGAAGGAGGGGTAAGTTCTAAGTTGCTATCTGCTGCAAAAGGTAAAAAAGGAGTGATTAGCAACTTTCAGAGAGTCCTAATGGCTTGATTCTTGGTGATTGTGGTGAGGGGGTCAGATTTCCGCTGTGGCCTATGAAGTGAATTACTCTTTGTTGGAGAAATCCTATACTCCCTTTGGATGTCACGGAAGAACTAGAAACCAAAAGGGCAGAAAGGGGTTTCAAAATTAGGAGATTGGTGCAGGCATAGACTTAGATGCTTATTTAAAATGTAAAATATAGACAAGAAATATGATCTGGGGACCAAATTAGAATTTATGCCTATTACTGTGATGGTTCTGAAACCCTGACGGGGTTAATTTTAGACCAATTGTTCTGCTTCCAGATAAGGAAAATGAATAAACAAAGAGACCAGGGAGAAAACATTTCTGATTGTACCTACATAAGTAGGGGCTAAGTTCCTTACCTTTCTGTGGTAACGTTAAATCAACTGCTTGTCTGTTTGCAGGCTCAGAAAGCCTGGTGCATTCTATTAGGGCATACTCTATGCAAAATACCCCAAGCTTATGCTTTGTTGGTGTTAGATGGGAAAACTTTGGCGTATTTGGAATGGAGATCTTTGGGGCTTGGGAAGCTGTCCCTGTTCATTTCTTCTCAAATTTGTAGCCCTCACTGACTGCCTCCCTCAGAGGCTTCAGAGAATGTTGCTAGGTCTCTGGGAACCATCTTCCAACCCTTCCCCCAATCCCCAGAAACAAGTCGCAATGAATCAGCTCTGGAAAGAAGTCAGTACTTAGTGTAACTCTGACTTCTGCCAAATTGGAATAATTCTTACATCCTTTCAAAATTAAGCAAATGATTTGACCTTCACAGACATACTTGATAGCTTATGACTCAGTCAAAGTGATTAAAAATGATGAGAATGAAGGATTAGGAGTCTTTAGCAGGCAAAAAAATTGTAATACTAACATCCAGCATGGCTCTCCA